TTAAGCTACCCGGTGGCAGTTCCCCTTAACACCAGGTGCCAGGCACGGGAGGCCCTCGGGTGTTAGAATAAACAAGTGAATGCAGACTCTCAGGACACTGCTTGACATCCACCAGGCCTTTTCTCAGACTTAGCGTTGAGGGAGGGGAGCAGAATTTCCTAAGCCGGTATCATCAGGAGCGCCACTCTTAGAGCTATGTTACTAGAAAGAGTTCCATGGGAAATATTGGGTGAAACAAAGTCAAGTGGTCTCTCTATTTTGGGTCTTCTCAGAGTCTAAGCTGTGCAAAACTATTGAGACGCTGAATATTTAGGACGGGGACATAGCGTGCAGCATTTCCTGAGCTTATTCACCCCTGGAGACCCTCGTCTGAGAGATTTCTATCCATGTCTCACGGGGCTGGTGTCCCGCAGAACCCAGCTGTAGAGCATGCCCTTCAGAGGTGCCCGCGCTGCCCACCACTGTGCTGCAGTGCAAACTCTCTGCTGTCTGGTCCCTCCACAGCCCCTGCACATTCCTGCCTCCACCCACTGCGTAGGCTGGACCTGCCCCAGAAATGCCCTTATCCTACTCTCTACCTCTGCGAATGCCATCCAGCTCATGTTCCTCCCACTCCACAAAGGCTTTCGCGGCTCCCCAAAGGGACTTCATCACTTGCTGCTTCAAGTCCTGCACGCAGCTCACGGCATCTTATTTCTTTGTGTTCTCCATAGCATGGCCCAGGCCAGGCAGGTGGCACTCCAAGAGAGCTCAGTTTGGGCCGTGGCCCGTGGATGGCCACGTGGGCTGACAACGCCCTGCCTGCAGGTGTGAGATGCACACTTCCTGGGCGCTTTCTCTTCACTTTATCCCCCCTGCCCGGCCCATCAGGGGCAAAGCAGCCATGGTCCCCAAGAAGGAAAGGAAATTTCCACCTCTGCAACTTCTGCTGCTCCTTCATATGTAGGGAGCTGGACCAGAGGAAGGGAACCAGCGGATCTATTTACGTGGACTCTTCCCCAAAGTGAGACCGGGGGCATTTTCTTATTTAACTATGAATGCCCTAAATCAGATGGTGCCCCATATGTTAACCTCTGTCCCTAATAACCACTGCGGCAGGATTGATTTTCCCTCAGCATCTCATAAGCATACGTCTTTGGGATCTGTCCTCAGAGAGATCCCGGAAAGTCCCATTAAAGTTAATGGGGATGAGTTGCCCCCATGTGGTGATGGCTCCTTTCTTCACTGTGCCTGAGTGAAGTGTGGGAAACAATCCTCCCTCCGTCCCTCCCTCCCTCCCTTCCTCCTCCCTCCCTCCCTTCCTCCTCCCTCCCTCCCTTCCTCCT